CCTAGGAAGTCACCGCCCAGGAGGCCAGTAGGCCGCTATATCTTTCAGAGGAGCAAGTAGCTCCTCCTCATTTGCGGTATGCAAGGATTGGCGACATGCTGCTGGAGCACAGCGCTGGACTGGTACAGCACTGCTTGGAGGTGAAGGGCAGCTGGCGCTCAGCCTGGCTATGGCGAGCAGCCCAGCTTGAGGAGGAGGAAGAAGGGGGCTAAGGAGGAGAGTGGCAAGGCACCTACCTGGCTATGGTGGACACCATCTTCATCACCTTGTTGGGCGCTGCATCTGGAAGGCCCCAGTTGGGGTAGTGCCGCACCAAGGAAGCTCGAGGTCCTTTGGACAGGAGTGCAGCGCCATAGCTGCTTTGGGTTGTCCTTTGGACAGGAGGGCAGGGCCCTCAGTAGTCCGCCATAGCCTATGCATGAGAGAGGAGGCTGAAGGAGGGTATGGTGGACTTGTTATTGTTGCTGTTGTTGAGTCCGCAGTAAGAGAGAACTTTGGATATTGATTCTGGTTCATCCATTCATTGTTATTATTATTATTGAGAGAAGAATAAGATTGGCGAAGTGAAGGAGGAGGAGGAAGGTGGAGAGAGAAGGGGGAATTGTCATTGGTCTTGCTGGTGTGCATCTTCTTCTTCTTCTTCTTCTTCTTCTTCTTCTTCTTCTTCTTTCTCCCTCCTCTGGTCTCTATCTCTTTGCAAGTGCTTTCATTTCTTTCGCAATTGGGTGGCATTGTCTTTCATTGTGAATTTACACTTTGGAAATGACCAGGATCGTAACAGGAAAAAAAAAAAAAACAGAAAAAAAAAAAACAAACCCACCAAGACGTCTCACCAAATAAGATTGAACCATCAATGAAATCACGTGACAATGAAAGATCCCTTCTCGCCTCCAACATCAGTGTTCATCATGGTTGCAATCCTACGTGGCACTCAACTCCCAGACTACTGGCAGCCTACTATAGACCTGGACGTCTAATGACAGCAACAGGTTGACATTGGAGCTCTCTGCCCGATGAACTGTGAAGATTCCGTGTAGACGAGCCCCCTTGTCTTCACCAGGTACGTGCCTCCATCACTGCTCACTCCTCGTCACTTCCCGCACAGGCTCTCCCCTCTCTCAAGGACCTCCACTTCACCCTCCACTGGTGCCCAGGCAGGCGGCTTGGCTATGGCCGCCTCTGGTACTCGCTGCTCTCAGACAGATCCCTCATTCGCCCCGCCAGCGCCCTTCACACAAGCCAGCTCCCTCGTGTGCATGCACTCCAGCAGCGCTGCCGCACTCCAGCCTGCCAGCACGAATGATAGCGAACACAGCTCACTTTCCCTTTATGCGGGCTGCCTGGCTTGTGGCCTGGCTGGACCGGCTGCACCCAGTCCCAGTAGCTGTTCCCAGGGCCCTTCCAGAATGTGTCGGGGACTCGACTGTAAGGGTCCTGGGCCTCAGCATCTTTGGTGGGCCTTCAGCATTGTCAACTGCCCGTCCCCCTGGTTGGTTGAAGATGCTGCATGCTGCAACCAACCAACGGGCCCCTCTCTGCTCACATTGGCCTGTACTCAGGCTGAAACAAAGTTTGCAGGCCCACCTTCACTTAGAGCAGGCTCGGGGCCTTTTCCAATATTGCCGAGGGCCCTGGTCCCCACATGCAGTCCTCTGAAGCATAAATGTGATTTTTTCTTCTTCCTGCTGCTTCTCAGAGGCTTCTTCTAGCTCCTTCCTGACATCAATGGCAGCAGCAGGACATAGAAGGGAGCACCCCCCAATAGAGACTTCCCTACCTGCTCGTCCTCTCTGCCAGTCAATTCAAAGACATTGCGAGGAGAAATTCAAACTTTGTGGCAATGTGCCAGTCAAAACTGAATGAATAGTGCCAAGCGGCCTAGCTCAGTTGGTTTCGCACGCAAGTGTCCCTCAGGAGTTCGTAGGTTTAATCCTCCGTGGCCGCCCGCAGCATGCTTGCTGTTCACCTGCTGAGTTAGTTGGCTTGGCCCCCTTAGTCGGCCTTGGTTGGGTCCTGGGTTCTCTTAGAGGCCCTTGCCCCTGCCATCCCTCACTCGGGGTTAGTACCTAGGCTTAGGCTGTTCCCTCACCCGGTAGATCTCGGCTGCCCCAGTATAGATAGGTAGGCAATGTGAGGTATATTTGAGTGAAGAATATACCTTAGTGAAAAAAGAAAAGAAAAAAAAACAAACTGAATCAATAGAATTTTAATTTGTGCTTCTGTGGGTTTCAGCTTCAAGCGACACTTTCAAGTAAAATGGCTCTCAAGGAGTCCAGAAGTAGAGTAAAGGGATCCGACACACCCATTGCCCCAAAAATACTGACATGCCACAACTCCATTTGACAGAGATTAACAGTCAGAAAAGAGACTTGATAGCTCCAGCAAAGTCAAGCAGCAGCCACTAGAACTGGCTAACTTAGGCAGGGGTGAAGATCGGTACATCCTCCTTCAAGGAAGTAATCATCTGGGGCTCCACGCCATAAGGGGGAGGAGCGTGTGTGAGTAACCATTGTACTATCTTTGACTTGCCGGGGGAAGAGGAACCAGAATGATGCTTCCCAGAATGGAAAAGGAGCAAGAACCTTGAGGTTCTGTTTGAAAAAAATAAAAAATAAAAATAAAATTGTCCTACTGTGGTTCATTCACAATTTCACACTCTTTTTTCCTCTCGTCTTTCACTATTGTTGGTCATCTGTAAACCTTGTCTTTTTTTCAACTGCAGCGAGAAAGGTATCAGCCATTTGATTGTTGCGGGTGTGGCCACGGAGATTGAAGGTCAGCAGGTGATGCGGGAGCTCAATGACCGGGGATATGAGCCAGTCATGATTGTGGACTGCACAGCAAGTTATTTCCAAGAGTAAGAGATAATGTATACTAACACCATCCTGGAACCAAAGGCAGGGTTTTCGCATGTGTGACCTAAAACTTGCACTGAATACAGACATAACGAACCCATGTTCTTTCTCCCCTGCAGAACAATGCTGCCAGGGTTCCCCAGGCTGTAGCGTGGGAAAGTGTGAAGGGCAAAAGATGTATTGTAAACTTCTTATGGGACACTGGGGATGGTTCTCAGCAGGTGATTCTCCCCACCAATAGAAAGGAGCTTTTCATTTGAAAAAAACAAGAAAAGAAGAAAAAGACCCCATGTTCTGTCTGGGAAAGATGGTAGCCCTGCGTACTACTGCATCTTCCATTGTGGGTTGACAACAAACAAGGGGCTGTGACAAACTGTTTCGTCGGAGTTTATAAAGTAGTATCAACTAAAAGAGCACACTTCGTGAAACTGATGGCAAAAATACAGAAGATGAACATGAAGAGCACACTGAAACCATTCTTTTGATCAGTTCTTCTTTTAGCTGGCTCTTTTCTAGATCTAATGAAACCATGCTTCTGTTTGAGAAAGATGGTAGACCTGTGCACGACCTTAAATATCTGCCTTCATGGGATTGGAATCATTGGATGCAACAGAGTATGGTCATGGCTGAGATTGGCAAATGAAACTGAACCAAGAAATTTGGGTGAAGGGCATAGTTCTATGTTGGATTCCTAAAACTGGTTGCAGTAATAAGCCACAACCTTCATGAATCTCTAAAAGTTGCAGTTTTGTTATTGGATCCAAGGCTGTTGTTTAACCTGCTGAATGCATTGAGGAATTTGAGGGCCTTTGCCATTTACAACTTCCCAGCTGTGGCTTTTGTGTAAACCTCTAGTGACTTAAGTCTGGGCAGGGCTTGCTAGCAGGAGTGATATGAGTATCTCTTTCTACCTGGCCCGCTCCTAGGTTCTCCAGTCTATCGGCGGGGAGCGGCACCTGCTGGAAACCGGGTCCAGCGTTCTATCATACATTTTTCCAACTTCTTCCACAGTGCCATTACCGGGTTTCGGCTTTCATAAGTCCACAAACACAAGAAATTGTATGACAGGTGCGCAGCCTCTTCAGCCTCTCGTGGCCCCCAGATGGGCAGAAGTATTGTTGGCTGCACTCTGGCTCCCTTGATTTCCTCTCAGTTGCTGCTCCCGTACCACTGCAGGTCCACCATCGAAAGGTGGTGGGGTGGGAAGAGGTCTGGTAACTTTGAAGGGGGCCGCAATGGTACTGCTGGGCTGATCTTGGTCCAGTCCTTTAAGGTCCGACTGTAGTCTCTTCTGATCTTGATCGTCCGGCTGGATTTGCTACCTTCTTCACCCGAATACAACATACGGTCATTATAGCTGTATTTGGGGTATCTTTCCGTCCAAATACAGCAATAATGATTGTACGACATACGTTGTATTCGGGTGAAGAGGGTAGCAATCCAGCCCCCTTGGTGCCCCCTCAACCATTCTTCTGTGAACCGTTGGATTGTCTGTTGGATGTCTTTTCTGGTGTGATATAAGTCTAATTGTGACTTCACATTAGACATTGCTCAGTAAGATCTGTCTGTAGTTGTTGCTTTATCATTTCAGTGAATTCCTCTCCATCCACCTGCGCATCCTCCATAACGTGTATGCATCGTTTCCGCCACAGAGCCCAGACAACCGCCCTCCTCCCTAGCTTGATTACGTTTTCCTCGAACGTGCTGTCTTGCGGGGAGTGCCATGTTCTGCACAGGAGTGCTGTCCGCTCCCATGGCCAGGCAGCGCTGGTTCCTAGTTGGCGTCATATTCGGTCCCACCTGCGCCTTGTGAGGACTGCACCCGGGCACTGCACAAATATATGTTCTATGGCCTCTGCAATTTTGCTGGGGGGCAAGCTGTTTTGGCACGACTTGCACCACGGGAGTGTCATCCCCTGTTTTCTAGGTTTGTCCAGTCGATCAGCCAGTGGTTGGTGGGGAGGCAGCGGTACTCTATCCGCCACTGCAGGGAGGGCAGTTTGGCAGGTCTATCCTGGTTGCTGTAAACCAGCAAATGGGCCGAACAACTTCCCTCCCAACATTTAGCTGCGCCATCCATCGGTTCATGCCGATGTCCCTGAGGTTTACTCTGGGGCGCTGCATCTTGTAGGTAGACCTTACCTCCAGGCCGGCCAGGTGAATGTTCTTGTTTTCCTATTCTTTTGTGAGGTGGGCCACTGCCACTCTTCCGGGTCAAAGGGCAGGTCCGACAGTGGAGTGCCCGGGAGGAAAGCCACCCAGGCTTCATTCACCGACAATACCCTTATCTTGAAAAATTGTGCCTTCTCCTACCATCCTACCGCGCCCGGGGAGAGTCTGGCGAGCATGTTCTCATTGTTCTTGTGAAACAGGCTTATTAATGCTTGCCCCTCTCATACTTCCAGCACGTTCCCCACCCTTTCCGGTTCCCCCCAAATTGCCACTCAGTCACTTTCCCGGGGAAGCGGTCCTTTGTGCCAGATGCGTCCCAGTACAGCACAGTACAGCAGTATGGAGAAGGTGATCTGCTCCAGATTCTTTTCCAAGTTGTGGCAATATTTTAGGGGTAGCCTCATCTAGAGTGGGGCCGAGCTGTGGAACACCCTACCTTTTGGGTTTGTGATATTCCTGTTGCCAAACAAGGGTGCCTGATGACCTCCTCCCACCTGTCCGATGACGACTTGTTGGGCGGGGGGGGGGGAAGGGAGAGGGTTTCACCAGGCTCGCAGGGCCCATATCGAAAAATTTGTTCCTTCCCTGATCCCTCATGGCTACCTCCCTGTCATTTTCTCCCTCAGAGGCGCAGCGTCGTGGGATTGTCCAATAGCGGTCCTCCATCCAGGTCAGGGGGTCAATTCCTGCTGGTGTCTGGGGGGCCAGGCGTGCAATCTGTTCCAATGCCAGGGCTGGCCATGCAATGTGGGGTGAGAGTCCATGACGTTTTATCCATTGGATGGTGAGGGTGGTGACTTGGAGTGTCGGATCTAAGATTCCCAGGCCCCCTCGGTCCTTTGGCTGTATAATCTATTTCCAAGCCACTCTACTAATCATGTTTTGACATTTGTTGTTTCCTCGCCATGTAGTGCAGACACCTGTCGTTTCGGCGCTCTTACCGCCTCCTTCCTAAGGGCCCATATCGCTGATTTATACCACAAGGAGGCCAGCACGATGTTATTAATTACTAGTACTTTCCCAATTAAAGACATTTGCTTCTCTTTCCATAACGCCATTTTTACTTGAGCACCCAATCATCATTGGATGCTGTTTTCCCTTGGGCTGTCATCATGATCCTGAGCACTCTGACCAGGGCGGACTCCGAGAGCCATTTGACTCGTTGGTGGTTGATCTACCACCTGAGTGTTTTACTTCCCAAGTTGACCGTCATGTCTGAGAGGGCCACGAATCGTTCCATCAGCTTCCTTAATTTCTCCATCTTTTCGTGGGATTGCTGTGAGGTCATCTGGAAAAAGTGAGCAGACCGGGATTGCTTCCTCCTGGATGGAGGCGGCTTGAAGTTTTGGATGTCCTTGTGGGTGTGCAGGTTCGCCACCAGTGATTCCATCACAATGATGAACATGAAGGGGGTAAAGGGGTCCCCCTGTTGTACTGACCTCTACAACCTGATCTTCGGGGTCAGCTTGCCGTTCACCTGCATCCTCGTGATGGCATTTTGGTGGAGGATTTCAACCCATCGACGAAAGTGCAGTCCGAAGTTCATCTTCTCCATGCATCTGTCCAAAAAGAACCAATCTACGTGGTTGTAGGCCTTCTCAAAATCGATGAAGATGACGGCCGCATTGTGTTTAGACTGTCTAGTTAATTTCAGTGATTCGTTAACCAGTAAAATGTTATCTTGGATTCGTCTGTTTTGGACAAACCCCGTATGTGTGGGGTGGATGATATCGTCCAGGACTGGAATCAGACAATCAGCCAGGGCTTTTCCAAGCATCTTGTAAACCAGCATAAGGAGGGTGATCAAACGATAGTTCCTGATGTCCATTTTATCTCCTTTTTTATGTAGCATGGAGAGGACCCTCACCCCACCTGCTCCCTCATCTGACCCGTCTCTCACACTTTCCGGTAGTGCCCCAGCAGTTCGGGGGCCATCTGGGTCCAGAAGGATTCTGAGAGTTCCTTGGGGAGTGTTTCCAGCCCCGGCGTCTTTTCCTCCATTTGCATGAGGGCCATCCAGATCGCTTTTTTGGTTATTGGTGCCTCTAGTTGTGAGCCCTTTATCTACCGGCAATAGGAACTGTGTGATCTCCTCCTGTTTCGTTTCCACAATTAGTTGCAAGCATCTGGAGGTGAAGAGATCCTTGGAGAACGTTCTGGTGATCTGTAGGCAGTAAGCAGTAAATGTCCTTACCACTTCCCGTCCGCACTGCATGTCATATAGGGGCTTCTATCGCTGTTCTCATTGCACGGGCTAGCCATGCAAAGAACTTCATCAATTTTCTTCGGATCCGGATACCCTGGCATCGTTGCGTGGCAAAGGTTTGTAGCTGTTGTTTTAGGATTGCATATTGGAGTGGGTTGGAGGGTGGTCATTTGTGAGGGTTGTGGGAGTGTTTGTTTGTTCCATCTGTTCCAGTTTTTGGATTTGATGGTGGAGTTCTATTTCTTGTTTGTGACGTCTTGCCGCGAGATGTGTCGAGTATTCTTTGCATTGTTTGCTGAGGAAAAAAGGCCATTGTTGAACCAGCCTATTGGATCTTGTATTTGTTCTTTCTGTGAGCGCCGGAATGCCCAGGTGTCTCAAATATATGCCTGAAACGACTCCCTCTGGAGCAGTGATGTGTTTAGTTTATAAAACCCTGACCCCTGATCTGGTTTCTTCCAAATTGCCAGGGAGATGGTACACGTTTTGTAGTCTAATCCCTGGTATGGGCTACGGGGTAAGATGGCCGCTAGGAACAGTGAGCCCTGCAGGTCCTCGCAGATCAGAATCAAGTCTATACGAAAGTTTGTTTGTCGTTCAGTGCCCGTCTTCCTAAGACAGGTGTAATAGCGGGTGTCAGTGTCCAGCCTTCGAAATCTGTCATATACTCACGTCCTCTTGTGTGTAGGGCAGAGGGGGGCTGGGGATCTTCCATCGGTCCACCCACTTTTCGGGAGCCGCATTGAAGTCCCTGGCAATAATCACCGGTATTGCGCTGCAATCTGGGATTTGATCTCCTTGAAGAAGCTCGTCTTTCCCCGGCTGTGTTGGGGGCATAGACGCCAATATGCACCGGCGAACTATATCATCCATACTTGCAAGCGGAAGCCGTCTGGGCGGCTCCGCACGTGCGGCGGACCGCCGGACTGGACCCGCGCAGCGCACGAATGCGCGCCCGACGACCAGTTACCCCCCACGCCCCCCCCCCAAAAAAAAAAAAACGGCCCCGTCCGGTCCGGTCCGGTCCGGTCCGGTCCGGGTCCGTCCGGTCCAGGGGGAGGGTGCCACACGCGGCAAAGCGGACCGTACCGGACGCTCGTCCGATCCGTCCGCTTGCAAGTATGATATCATCCTATTTGCGTTCTTCTGACTTCTTCGTCATTTCTTGCCTCCTTTGCATCGGTCCGTATGATTGTCGATCCGGGCTCCTCAAGCCCCTGTCGCGGTCTTGTCTTGATGATTCGCTGTCGCTGTAACTCCTTACCTTGCTTCTCTTGCAATCTCCACTTGCACTTCGCTTTGCTTCCTCACTTTGGTGCTCTTGCACCCTCTGCTCGCTCTCCTCGACATGCCCACTCCGTTGTGTGAATCCTGTCATCACGACAGCCGTGGTGCTGGGTTGTGCATGATTCGCTGTTTCGGCCTTTCGCTGTGCTCTGCTCACCTCCGTGCTCTCGGCTATGGCGGGGTTGCCCACCCCTTCTTCACGTCGGTCAACGCTGGCATCTAAAAGTTGCGTCTAGGCCCTGCGGTTGTGGCCCGTGGTGGTCGACACTAGCGGCGCATTACAGCCTCTAACTGTAATGGAATCTGGTTGCTGGTACTGTCATGTCAATGTCATGATTTCTCTGTTTTTGCCCTCTTCTTAAATGTTTGTCTATTAGAAAGGAGTGTGCTTTTCTACTCCTTGTTACATGTAGCAGCCAGCATGGGAGTTGCAAAGGAAAAGGAGGGGGTAGAGGAGGATGGCTATCCCAGCAAAGATGAGGAGGAGGATGAGAATGAGTATGAGTATGACAATGACAATAAAACAAAACGGAGGAGGAAAGGGAAAGGCACAGCCAGTGTTGTCTAAGGACGATGTCAATAGTCGATTTCTAGCACCACCTGTCGTTCAGTCATTGGTCCAGACTGCGGACATTGATCACCCATGCATAGCATTCCCATCAGGGCCACTGGCACACATCAATTGACGGTCTGTTACTATAGGAACCGTGAAGCAGCAATCTGGCATCCTGCGAATTGTAGGCAAACTGTGCAATCATGTCATAAATCCGGATGACCAGATAGGTCAATGACACTGACCTATAGCAAAGATAGCAGACAATGAAATCACGATGATCCTGATGTGTTGATGGGTGTAACGGTGGTGGTGGTGGTGATTTGGTGCTGCTGCTGATGTGATGATTGGGAGGAGGATAAACAGGATGAGCATGATGACAATGTTGTGGCATACACCGATCCGATGCGGTCCCCTCAGGCCTTGATCTGCACAAACAGCATTTTGGAGGTTGTGAGGGCCACGGCCACCTCTTTTGGGCCTCTAGAGGCCAGGTAGTTTGGATTACACATGGGGTGTGTTCTTGGTGTGTTTTCTTACTTTTTGTCTGTTCCAGGTTTTGTCCGGTCTGGGATCTGTTGCTTGGACCTTTGTCCTGGTCTGGGCCACCAGCCATTTCTAGGTCTGCACGACTCTGCAGCACTCTGTTTTAGGCTGAACCGTGTTTCTGAGGTGCAGCCCTGTTTGTCAGAATCCAGGACGGCCTGGATGTCTGACTGGGACCAAGGCAGGCCACGTTGTTGGCCTGGTCACTGGACCTTCCCCACGGCCTGCATCCAGGACCGTGGATCACTGCATCATTCCGATGGCCCTGAATCCAGCCCGTGTCCAGCTCCAGTATTCCCAGCGTGATATGTAGCTGGGCCTACTCCAGGTGCGCATGCACTGTTTGCAGGTCACACTTCGGCATGCTGCTGGCCCAGGACTTAGAGGAGGAGTGTTAGGGTTACCTCCGGTAGGCTAGGAGATTAGCAGAGTAGAGGAGACCAAAAGAGATCACCATAGGTGCAGGGTGAAGGACACTAACCTGGCACCATAGCTGTTTCCATCGCCTGGCCCGGTTCACAAGCGCCTGCAGCACTCACAACTCAAGACTTCATCTCTTGTTGGTCAGGGAAGAGAGAGAGAGAGAGAGAGAGAGAGAGAGAGAGGAGAAACTCGGTGGCTATCTTCGGGCTATGCCCAGACGTGGACACAACATTTGGGCTGAGACTATTTTGGGACTTTTGAGAGATACCATTTTCATTCGGCAGATACATTGAGTTGCAGTCTCTTCTTCTTCATCATCTGTCCCACTCTCGTTTCATCCCTCCCCTCCATCATCCATGGTTTATTTCACTGTGAGTCTGGGGCAAGGTCGCACCTTTCCTTTGTGTATGAGCCCACCTTGCTCACCTGTGTGATGGCATATGTGTGTGCCATGTCCAGAGTCGGACGAGTCAGATCTGTGCATTTTCAGTCTTCGGTTGCTCACATTGTTCTTTTCTCACACTTCAGTGATTCCTTGGACCTGCACCATGCCTATACAAACGATGGCAAGACGGAGACAAAGGATGAAGCCCTAGAGGAGGGCACTAATGACAGTGCAATGGCTTGTTCTGCCACATGAAACAGGTATTTGGAATAAACATGGGAAGGATGATGATGCTAACGATGCTGATGTTGGTTATATCTGTGGCATAATGTCTTTCCAGGCTTAAAGATGTGGCTATAGAAATGATGACAGCCCAGGCTGGTCTTATTGGGTGGTCCACTTCTCTCGATCTCATCAAGCGAGCCCTTGAATTGGCTGATTTTGAAGAGGTCAGTTTCCCAAGTGTCAACGACATGTGTTTCCCACTCATGGCGTATTCTGAGCTCAGAAACCAACCACGAGTCCCATCTTCTTGGAATCCATGACTTCGACATTTTCTGGGTCACTTTCCTTTTTTCCCCTTTTTATAAACCATTGCCTTCATTGCTTAAACCAATAACAAGAGGCCGGGGTCCTCACACTTCCACCCGGAAATGGACTGGGCCACTAACCTCTTCAGCTAGCTGGGAACCGGGTCCATGGACCCTTAAAAATACCTCCAAAGACCCTTACTCAACGTTTCCTTCCGTCATGGCCGAAGGAACCCGGAATGTGGGGGCATTGATTGCTTCCTTTATGAAAGGATTAAACACTGATCTCTGCCCTCCTGTGTGCACATCCTGTACTGGCTGGAAACCGGGTCCAGTGGGGGCATTGATTGCTTCCTCCATGGAAGGATTAACCCCTGATCTCCGACTTCCTGTATCCACATCCTCTACTGGCTGGAAACCAGGTTCGGCGTCCCCTGATCCCTTCCCTCTGTCGCGAATACTAGCTTACACTTGTCCTCCTTGCCCTGTCCCCCTTCTTTTAACTCGGTCCTTATGGCATGCCCAGGCCGAGGCTGGATGTATCTTGCATACTTCTAACAACCTATGGTGGCTGCCCTTTTTGTCCTTCCATTCTTAGTTGCCAGATAAATATTAGTCTTTGACCTTCTATCTTAGCTATCCTACCTCCCCCCAGTCTATAATGGCTGAATTTATTGCGCAATTCACTTGCCTCGTCCGGAGTTTCTTTCATTCTTCTTTGAACTCTGTTCCACTCGGCTATATACTTTCTCAAGCAAAGTGCCTCTCTACCTCCCTTATATGCTCTGCCCTCTGGTCGATGGTTTCTGGACACCTTGCCTTCCATATGGACTATAAAGCATACTGCCTCAGTCTGAAACAGTTCTTCTCAAATGGCATCCAGCCCTTAGGTACTTGACAGCCCGTTAGGAGCGTGATGGGTCTTCAGGGAACATGTTGTTTGATACTTGCCCCCATCTATCCTTTGCTATCTTCCATATGTGTTGGGCCTTGACTCACAGTTTCCACTTTGCCTTCAACAAAGATTGCGCAGAGGTCCTTCAACAGGGACCGACCTTCTTTGCTCCTGCTGGTCGATCATTCGTTGACTGAAGTGCCAAGCAGACTATCAGCCATTGCATACTCCTAACCCGTGCTAGTCTGATAGCCAGTTGGGCCCACAGGAAGTCCTACAGTCTAACTGGTTCCGACCCCGTGTGTTTGGCCCATCTCCGCCCCAATATGGCCTCTATCTGGTGTGATCTCACCCTCAGCTTTGTTGTATTCCAAAATATTGATCCATAGGGCTACTCTATTGTGCCTTTTCCTCAGATTCCTTGCCTGCTTCATGGGATCCACTTCCAGATCCTCCATCGCCATGGTTGGACACTATATGGTGAGGCATTGTTCCGTATCAAGCTTACCTGCCAAACCAAATCTTCCCTTCGGCTCACCTGGCGTTCCAATGATCTAGAAACTCAGCTCGTCGTTGTCCCTGGGTCCTTGGGGACCTCTCTGTCAGTAGGCAGTCCGCCTGTGGTGCCTCTGTCTTCCGCACTAAGAAGGCAGAAGTTGGGTCATCCTCTCGCTCCCAGGTTACTGAGTGTCCCCCCTCCTGTGTAGTGCCTTTCTTTAAGAGGCTAGTCCAGTTTTGTGGGATTGATTCTAAAATGCCGCCCAGGTTCTCCTGCAGGTTATGGCAGCCTTTTTTGTTCACCTTAGTTCCCGAGCAGTCTTCCATCTTCTATGTTCCTCCGCCTAATGATGTTTGATTTGCCACACTTTGTCACACGCCATGCCCCAGCCAGGTACCCCACTTAGTGTCCTGAGTTAGTAAGGTTCTTGGTTCCTCCATCCGTTATCCACTGATTGCAATTCTGTCAAGTCTAACTTGTCAAGTCTGCTAGCAGCACAAGATTCATTGGCAACAAACCCTTGGTCTGCTAAGAACCCTACCTATCCCTGAAGGTCCCGGTGAGTCCATCTCTATTGACTTCATAGACATGGGCAAAGTAAGTCGGAATGGATTTTCATAGATCATGGTTTATTCTACATCTACCGCCAGAAGTACCTGCAGATCTGATCATTGAAGAATTTGAGCGGCAGTAAATCGTCACCTGGGGTATCTGGAAAACGACTGCGAAAGCAACCTGAAAAGAAAGACCTTTCCTGCCTTGTCTTTCATCTCTACCACCTCTTCCCTCTTCCTCATCATCTTCTCTGCTTCACATCATTGCTTTCTTTTTTGGGGAAACCAGTCCCTCTGCTAGAAGAGGTGATATGAGCACCCCCTTCTAGCGGGTTGCCTGGTTACTCCAATCTATTGGTGGGGAGCAATACCTGCTGGAAAACTGTTCCAGCATCCCAGTGAACAATTAAGCATCTGAACACACTGACTTCCTGCCAGCATTGATTACCATGAAACCAGGGGATTGACTGAGCAGGTGAGAGGATGCACATAAGAGGGATTGACAAAAGGGGACCTCTTCAGCCCTGCTGCTGGTTATTGCCCTAGAGAAGACAACCTAAACGGAAAGCCCTTTTCTTCTTTGTAATGACCTGCAAAATCACAGACCGAGAACTCTGCTGATTTCTGAGTTTCGTCACTGGACTGTGTGACTTGCTGAGATTCCCACTTCCTGCTGAGATTTCTAAGCATGTGTGTGTGTGTGTGCTTGCTGAGTTCCGTGTGTTTGTCTGAGTGCATGAATGCTTGGGTGTGTGTGTGACCCGCCAGGGTAGTTGTATGCTTGGAAGGCCCGCGGGCCTGGTACTTACCTGTGGCCGTGCCTTTGTGGGTTGCAGCGGGGTGTTGCAGTAGGCTAGGCCCACATAGATGGAAAACACTCAGTAGCAAGTAGGGTAGGCTAGGCCCGTGTAGGTCGGAAAACGCTTGAGTAGCAGGTAGGTTAGCAAAAGAAGACAAAAAGTTAGTACCTTTACAGGCTGAGTGAATTTTAGGAGTCAGGTAGGCTGAGGTCCAGGGGTACAGGTACTCATACGCTCCCCACGTGGGGACGTGAAACTCTGTCAGATTTTTTCTTCTGCGCTGCATCTTCAACTGAAACCTCGATCTACAACTCTCTCATTTTACATTCCAATTTTTCAAACGCTCCCCAAGTGGGGAGGCGAAGCGCTGCCAAAAATTATTGCGGAAACTCAGATCTTGTGTTGGATCCAGCCTGTCATTATTTGATCTACTCGCTCTTTGATCTGCTGGTACGCTCCCCAAGTGGGGAGGCAAAACTCTGTCGGTTTTTTTTTTTTGCTACACGTTTCATCTTGCATCTCGATCTTGCAACTCTCTCCATTTCTCTTCCATTTTGTTTCTAACACTCCCCAAGTGGGGAGGCGAAGCTCTAGCAGATTTTTTAGCCACTTCTAGTACTAAAAGAGCCCTACATTCACCTCTTCTGAACAAACTCCACGTTCCCCAAGAGGGGAGGGGAAACTTAGCACTAGAATCTCAAAGCCGTGATTGGATAAATCTCTCATTTTTTTCACTTGGGAGTTCCTTCTGACCCATTTTCACACCCCCAAGTGGGGAGGCAAAACACGGTCAGATTTTTCTCCTGCTGCATTATCGGCTGGGACCTTGGCCATAATCTGGGACTAACACTCTCAGAACTCCCCACAACTCTTGATCCATCTCTTCGCCCCCCAAGTGGGGAGCTGAAGTTCTGACGAATCCCATTGCCACATTCGCCACATCTGAGCGGATCCCACGCAGAATCAGCAACCTGTCCACCATGTCGACAGCCCACCCTGCATCATCGGCGACAACTTCTACCCAGGAGCCGCCTCAGACTCTGCCTCAGGTACTGCATCAGCCCCCTGCGCAGCGTCAGGAGCGACCTCAAGGGCGACCTCAGGTCCCAAAAGAGAACACGATACAAACGATCAAGACCCTAGCCAAGAGGTACTCAATCTCATGATAAAGGAAACACGCGTCAAACCAGTGATCACTAAAGAAGTTGTAAAAATCAGTAAGGATGAAGAAGCAGAAGTCGAAGTCTGGGTTTACCCAAAAGAACATCTGCCTGTGTTAGACGAATTCTTAGAAAAACACGCAATTGTTTGTTCCTTCCCAGCAAAACTGAAACATCTGCCAGCCACAGAGAAAAGGAAAAGGGTCTGCGATGCTCTTCAAAACATGGATAACGTGTGTGACACTATTCCCAAAATTGCCTTTGCAACAGAGAGGGAAAAACGTTGTCACAGTGTTATGCGCAGAACCAGAATACAAAGCCTTCCTTCTCTCAGTACAAGCCCTCAACTGCGAAGGTTTGGTGGTCTCCATCTCCAAATGGAGACCCAACAGGGTTGCAACGCAAGGCACCTCAAGCCACTGACAAACTCTGATGTACAAGCACTTCTGGATCCAATTCGACAACCTGGCCGATGAAGTACACCAATTGGTAGAGGACAGGCTGAAGGTAACCTACCCCCAGTACCCACTGGTCGAATGGGTCTCCTCGGCCCTAGGGTTCCTTGCCCATAGCACCAACTCAAGAATAGCGTGCATTGAACTCAAAGGAAACAGTCCAGCGGATCTGCCTGACAAATGGTTTTTCAAGGCAGATCAAAAGACCACAACAATTTACATCTCCACGAAGGCAAATCTCATGTGTTTCAGATGCAGGATCAAGGGATACATGGGGAACGACCCTCTCTGTCCTCTGAACATGAAAAAAGGGGAAGGTAGAAGGCTACATCCCTCAATGTTGATCGAAGCATAAGCTATGAAAGGCATCTGGATCATCAATGACCTAGCCTATGTGGGATGGTTTTCCGATGACCTCAAAGACAACCCAGTGTGGATATGGACACTAGCAGATCCAGAACCAGCATGCAAGCCAGACGTTTTCCCCCGACACGGAAGCAGATGGCAAAAAGGAGGAGGCAAAAGGAATGACATATTCACTCACAGGTACGAAAAA